TTGAACCGTGGTCCCTGTGCTTTAGCTAAGCTTGTTCTAAGTAGGTGCTTTAGACCACTGAGCCATCTCACCAGCACCCCAGTATCTGTGTTGATGGTTCATTTTTCTATTTAGTTATTTGTCTTTTTTTTTTTTTCAATATCACATGACTTTAAGGTAATACATTCACAGAGAAGGCCAACTTTTACTCTCAGGCATTTTCTCATCCTCAGATGTAATGTCATCATTCAGAAGATGTAGATGTTGTTGCCTGAATAGTATTCTATTCTTTCCATCAGTGTTCAGGAAAACACTTTAAATTGCTACTTAATTTACACCATAATTATTGTGTGTTACATCTTACAGCTTTTGCTCATTTGCTGTTTTGGAAGCAGTATTTTTTGGCACATGTGCTGCCGAAGTCAGCATGTGAAGCAGTCTTTTTTGAAAGCTATGGATGGCCCTGTGTTGCTTAAACTGGACCCTATTCAGAGACAGTCTTGGCAGCTTACAGACTTTCACCTTCCACTGCATACAAGTTCTTTGTGGCGTGACAGTCGCTGTGGATGCAAGAGAGCAGGAAGTGCTTCCTCTGTTCCTAGGCGCAGCTATTGAGATCCAGCACATTCCAGATCTCCCACATCATGTCGCTATGATCCCTGGAACTCAGTGGTTCAAATGCCCCAGGTGAGGTGCAGGGAACAAGGTTTCAGCAAACACATTGCTATGCCTTGTGAGTTCTCCAGTTATGGGAATTTACTAAAAAGATTAGAGGAGCCTCAACTTCAAGTCTGGGACAGCGGTTGTGGTTTCATGGGACAGGCCTTTGTACACTGCTGGTTGCCACTCCTGGGCCTGGCTGTAGAAAAGCACTGCGACTGGTGGTGGCTTGTGGGAAGTGGCTTCGATGTGGCGTGGTTGCACTGGTGTGGTTGCACTCAGGCTTGAAGCAAATCGAGTTCTCTGAGCAGGAATCGTGCTGTTCTTTTTGCCATTCTGAATCACGGAGTACCTGGCTGTGGTACTCCTCTCACTGAAAACCTGTTTTACTGCATCATTCCCCCAAGGGCTACGTTGTTGCTAGTAGGGACAGTGCTGAGAAAATCTAGGCCCTTGAGCATGCAAGGCAAGTCTCTATCACTGAGTTATCTTATACCCGTACTTTTTTTTTTTTTTTTTTTTTTTTTTT